TATTAGTTTTAGCAAAAGCCAGTCCTATCGAAATGCCCACCAACTGTTCGATAAAAGTCGTCAAGGCATTTCTCGGCTGTATTTTTTCTTTAATCTTTTATTTTGGTCTTTCTTGTCATAATTTAATTTGATATTGGAAATCTTCTCTTGAATCATGTCTTCTGTTAATTATTTTCGTATGGTTGTCTTGTGGTTAAAATTGGATTTGCGCTATGTGGACAAAACTGGTAGTAACAAAAGATGGTTTAAAAAATGAGATTAAAGTATCCTTTTTTTATACGGCCATGATTATAAATACAAAGAAAATTCGGTAAAAATAAAAATAAAAATATTGGGTCTTCTAATTTCTCTTCTTTTTTTTTTTGTTTTTTGTGGTCATATGGGTCTTCTAATTGAAGTCCAGCAAGATGGGTAGATTTTCAGCATTCGAAATCTGTAGTACGTCTATAATATTACTTTGCCGTTTTCATATTAATCAATTTGCTCTTTGTTTGAATATCTCACCAAAATGAAAAGAGAACATTGGGAAATATTTTTTTAAATCTCAGGCACACGTTCAAACCAGAATAAACGAAACTCGAAATTAAAATAGCGATTTACCGAAAAAGAAGAAGAGGAAATTACAATCATGCAATGCATGGGCAGAGAACTGCTTTTAACAAAACGAATGACATATAATTTTCTGATTTATGTAATGTATCGGTTATTGATTTACATTGATTAAAATGAAGAAAACCGTGCAAAGCACGGGGCAACATAACTAGTGTTAAAGTAATCAATGTATGACTTACCGCACGAGCATGACATTACAATTCGCAGTTTGTTCCTGTGGTATGATGACGTTTTGGTTAACTTTCAACAATGCCTATCCAAAGAGGGTCGTTAGAGCCAGCAGTTTTTTCATTTATAAGAGAAAAACTATGATTGATGTGAAAACTGTGCTCTGTTTTTTTGCATCCTTAGTCACTTGAGACTCCAAAATCAAATGAGAGGAGGTACTTGTATAGTCTACACCTATCTTGATTTACTTTTATTAATTACAGAATTTTCCTCCAACGAGAAACTCCCTCCAATCATGCCAGCTCACGAATTATGAACGTCGCCTACATGCAGACTGTACCAAACTTAAACGCGAACGATATCCGTGCTTGTAAATTCATCGATTAGAGTGGTTGGAGAGAGCTCTCCAATTAGAATCATTTGGATGTCATGACCAAGCCCAATTCATTCATTATAACCTCATATTGCTCGATCATGTGCTGCAGCATCGGCCCATTAAAACAAGAGAGGCCCCCACGAACCAAGTCAAGTAACGCATTGCGCTTCTGAAAGTCGCATTAAACTCGAATCTAAGAGCCCCCTTTTCATTCCCAAGCCCGTTCGAAAAATGATAAATGACATAAACAGTCCATGAACTTTGGCCCAATATATAATCTGATTCCATAACTTTTAATTTGTTCGATGTAATCCTTGAACTTTAACCCAATGTGCAATGTAGTCCTTGAACTTTTAATTTGTTCAATGTCATCCTTGAACTTTTGGTAAATTTTCAATTCATTTCCTAAACTACATTGAACATTTTCATATAGTTCGGGGACTGAATTGAACAAATTAAAAGTTCATGGACCACATTGAATCTTAAACTAAAGTTCAGGGACTACATTGAACAAATTAAAAGTTCAAGGATCAAATTGCACATTGGGCCAAAGTTGAGGGACTGTTTGTGTCATCGCCCCTTCGAAAAACTACCCTCGCCAAAAAACAAGAATGAGCGATCGAGTTATATTGTGGCAACGAACGGAAAGAAATGCATAAGCACCGAGCGATGCGAGCGAGAAGAGAGAAGCAATTACTCATTGACAATATGAATTCGATTGATTCCGCCCAAATCGCCTCCGCATTCGGACGGATCCAGAAGGATTCGAAACACGCGCTATGGATCCGTTCGATCCTTTCCTTTGTTCTCCCTCCATCTCTTTTTCTCTATTCAAGGAAGACGCGCGTCTAAAATCCTTCGTCCGCCCGTAGAATTCCCTTGACCAAACACGATGTTTAGGACTAATGCTGCTATATTTAAGTTAGGCATGTATCAAACCTTCCCATTTGTGCTGAACAAAGCTTGAACCACCTCTATCTTCCATCAACACCGTTTTCCATATTTTTCTTTTTTAGCATCACATCTTTTAATCAAACTTGCAAGTGTGTAACGAGTTGATTTCTTTTTTTTTTCATCGATTCGACAAAAATCCCTTCTTTAAGATGCAGTACAAATTACCGGCCTTGAAATCTTAGCATTGTGACTTTCGATGTTTGCTTTGATGAGACAGGTTTGGGTCTCTATGCTAATTAAGCAAGCTATACTCGAGTCTCAAGACAGATATTAACGTTGTGTACTTAATTATGTTTCCTCACTAATGAGCAAGAGCCGAAGTTCCTACTAGGGCCACTCTGCCTGTTTAAGTATATACACCTGGCGGGCTGACATGACTGCATTTTTTTATTTAACGTGCCGGTACCCGCATGTCCAATTTCCCTAATTTGAATCTTTTTCATCTCCAAGAAAACGGAATACCCTCTTTGTGTTTAACGTTCAGGGGATGCCGATATCCGAACGTGGCCTCAGACGAAGCAATTTCACCTCTTACTTAAGAGGAAGCTTCATCCACGATGAGGCAAAGTTTAAGGTTGTGTTACATCTTTTCTCGGGTAGCAAAAGGAGGGCCAAAAGCCAAAGTTGCATAAACAGACTCTACGAATATCAGAACTTCCTACATTGATCAGCTTATAATAGTGATTCTAGATCCTTTGGTGTGTGCTCCGGCTCAAATCATAATTAGCCAATCAATCCGCCCAGTAAACACGTGAAAGAATCAAATTTCACCTCTCCAAATTTCCTCTTCCATGATAAACGAGTTTTCTCGTTCGATAATAGTTTTCACCGAAGTGTTAGAGGTGGCACAGCCCGTTTAGTGGAAGTGAGATATACCTACTAGGACCGAGACGCAGCCGAATTTTGTGACCTTTGCATTCATGAACTATCAGCCCATATTTAGGGTGCGCATGGCAACGATTCTGTGCCCGGGAACTGATTCTGTTCAGAAATAATTCTTTTTTATTCTGTGCTCGGGAATTGATTCTGAGCATTTGAAGGCGTTTGGTAACGACTCAAAATTTCCATTCCTGAAATAATAAAAGAACAGAAATGCGTTTGGTAACGGCATAAAATTTCTTTTTATTAATAATATTTTAAATATTTTAATATTTCTTTCTTTTTTTCTTTACTTTTTTTCTTCTCCTCCTTCTTGGCTATGGCTGGTAAAATATTTTTTTATTAATAATACTTTTATTAAAAATGATTTTTTATTTTTTTGGCCATGGCCGGTAAAATATTTTTTTATAAATAATTTTTTATTAAAATATTTTACTAAAAAATATTTTTATTGAAAATATTTTTTTCTTTTTTTTCGCCATGGACGGCAAAATATTTTTTTATTAATAATATTTTAATAAAAAATATTTTTATTGAAATTATTTTTTTTATTTTTTTGCCATGGCCTGGTCGCTGGCCATGGCCGGTAAAATATATATATTTTTGTATTTTTTATTAAAATATTTTAATAAAAAATATTTTTATTGAAAATTTTTTTTGCCATGGCTGGTAAAATTTTTTTTATTAATAATATTTTTTTATTAAAATATTTTAATCTCGCTAGATACGGCGAGAGTGGCCCTCGCGCCGGACATTAGAAGCTACATTAAAAATCAAGAAAAAGAAGAAGAAAAAAAAAACTGATTCTCATTTTTGTTCCCAGAATCAAGAAGCTACTTTTTTTTATTCTTGATTCTACTCCACAACTGATTCTGGGCACAAATTTGCAAGAATTTGTGTCCAGAATCAAAAAATTAAACAAACGGATTTCTATTCCCAAACTGATTCTGGGAACAAAAGAACAGAATTAAACACTATTTGGCAAGTTGCCATGCGCAGCCTTAGAGCCAACCACACTACAACACCGCTGCAACACCAGCAATCAACGGATTGTTTTTCAATCAAGAGGTCGAGAAGAGGCAACTTCTAGGCATAAACTTTAAGGTTCCCAAATTCGTTTATGGAATGTTTAGATCGATTCTCATTGTCTGCGAAAATGTTTAGACATAAATTGCTGTCGATAATCAAAACAGTTTTCTTCAACTGATTATTTCAAGCAACACGAGCAAACGTTTTTTTAGGAAAATTATTTTACAAGTAATTCATCTCTCGCAAAACAATCGGAAACAAAAATTGCTTCAATTAAGCAAACACAATACAAGCGGTTTAGAGGTTCATTGTTATAATAATCTCTTGAAGAAAAGCTAGACCCGTCTATCACTAAACTGTTAACGCTTATTTCAGAATTAGTGACAAGAGGGAACATGGCAAAATTTTGTTATGAAATAGCTGGCAAGTATATATGTACGGGAAGTCCTAAAACTTGTCATGAGGGCATGGTAGAATTTTACAACCATACAAAAGTAATTAACAGAAGACATGATTCAAGAGAAGATTTCCGATGTCAAATTATCGACCCATACTTATAGCCCACCACGCCAGCAATCAACCGGTCGTTTTTCAATCAAGAGGTCGAGAAGAGACGACTTCTAGGCATAAACTTCAAGGGTCTCATATTCGTTCAAGTAATGTTCATATCGATTCTCGCCGTCCATGAAAATGTTTAGATATAAATTGCTATCGGTAATCAAAATAGCTTTCGTTGACTAATTATTTCGAGGGTACGGGCAATTATTTTTCAGGAATATATTTTTCAAATAATTCATCTCCAGTGAAACAATCGGAGCCAAAAATCACTTCGGTTAAGCAAACACGATACGAGCTATTGAGAGGTTCATCGAAAACGTCGATAATCTCTTGGAAAAAAAAGCTAATTTGATACGAAGTAGCTGGTTCTTAGGATGATATATGTTTGGGCCCATGCTCGACAGAGTTCCTTGCCTCTTTCTCGTTTTTCCTCTTTTTGTTCTTTGTCCTCCCACGGAACCGAAACGTTGGAAAGTTGCCACACAAAACAGTTCCACACGTTTCCTCTTCGCATCGCCCGAAGCGAAATCTCACCCAAGAAACCACAACTTGCGAAATCCCAAAACCAAGACCAAGGCCTCGTAATCTCGAGTTCTTGTCTGCTTTCTGTGTTTCGCCCCGCGCCGACCGTCGTGAGTTCTTGTTCACTCCCTCCCTTCGGCGGCCTCCCCCTCGCGCCACCGCTTCCCCGTTTGCGTTTTCTTGATACGCAGAGCGAGTCATGGGAGCTTCCAGATAAAGCTCGCACGCCACCCATACGGCAGGGCAATATAATATCCCCTACAGCCCAGCACCCATCGTTGTCTTGCCATTCTTTTATTGCCCATAATCTGTACTGCAGTATCATACAGCCTGTGCCCCCTCCCGTCTTGAAGATTACTCTTGCAGCCTCGTTCCAAGCCAAACCCATCAACGCTTTCTTCCCAGACTTGCGTGAACCCTCTCTCTCTCTCTCTCTCTCTCTCTCTGTTGTTTGATTTCCCGCTTGGGGTACCGTACACTCTTCCATCTCTCTGGCAGCGTCAATGGCTTCTCTAACCCCGGCGCCTCACTCCACCTGCTTCTTAAGCAACACCCAGTTGAAATCGCCTCCTGCCCAGGTTCTCTTTCCCCTCGCGAACGCTAGCCTAGGGACTAGTTTCTTGCAAAAAGGGTCCTTTCGGGCGGTTCGCAGAGTCGCGAAGATGCCCCCGAAGGCGGTGGTCGTCGCGGCGACGACGACGGAGAAGCCGAAGAAGAGGTACCCCGGGGAGGCGAAGGGGTTTGTGGAGGAGATGAGGTTTGTGGCCATGAAATTGCACACGAGGGATCAGGCCAAGGAAGGAGAGAAGGAGGTGAAGGAGCCCGAGGAGAGGTCGGTGGCGAAGTGGGAACCGAGTGTTGATGGGTACTTGAAGTTCCTGGTGGACAGCAAGTTGGTGTATGATACGCTTGAGAGGATTGTGGAGGATTCTGCTTTCCCTTTCTGTGAGTATGGTTGATTTGTTCGCGGTTTCTTTGGGGTTGTCATTGGTTCTTGGTTTGTCTTTTGGTGTTATGATCAGGTCTCATTGATTTTGTGTGGTTGTGATGACTTATGATTATTGGGATGCTGGTTTTGAGTGGTTGGATGATGCTTTTGATATGGTGAGATGGACCTGTTAGAGATATATGGCTGTTTAGATGTCAAGCTAATCTCAGATACGGATGATTGTTGGATAGTTTTTCCTTTTATCCTGAAGGAGGATTAGTGGTTTCCCTCCTAGCAGAAAAAGGTGTCGCTCCTTTCTGAGTTTCTTTGTGTGCCTTGCCATTTTCTTGCTTCTGTGTCTTATTGCTGCAACTAGTCATTGTTTGAAAATTATGGTGCGAAAAAGTTGTAGTCTTAGCAGAGGAGGAATGATCGAGTCTCTTAACAGTTTGAAACACGCAATGGCACGTTTCTTTCTGCCTGACGAATTTAGCGAATGCGTGCATTGGATGAACTTGTTCAAAAGCTTGTCCTTTTCTTTTCTTGTGTGTGATGGGGGATTTCTTCCTGCAAGGTCATGCACATTAAATGTTCTTCTCGGTTTAAATTTTTTTTTTTAGATTTGCAGCTCTTTTGATAGTATATTGCTGGCAGCAGATAAAGCAGCATCAAACCTCTTGTTTTCATTCAGAAGTAGGACTCCTCTGCATTGCAGTCCACATTTAGTGCTCAGATATTAGTAATGCCATTTTGTGTCTATTGCCAGCCAAAGCTGGTCTATTGTGATTTAGGATCTTAAAGGAACGTAGAATTAGGATGTTGGATTCTTGGTTCTCGAACCATTTTCTTTTCCATGTGAGAATGCTGCAATTGGCTTTTCAAATGTGCTTGTTTATTATTATCACTTTGTTAATTGGGAGTTGCTTCTGTTTTTTGGGGAAACGAAGAAGGGGGGGGGGGGGGGTACTTTGTACTCTTAACACGTGATTAGCAAAATAACTTCTCTGATTTTTATCTACCTATTCTTGTTCTAGGTTGTAGACACGAATGCGAAGAAGTATTATGTAACACGGTCCTCATTCTAAACAACTAGTTCTGTGGAATCAGAATATTATCTGGCTGTTGCATTTTCTTCGTTGAAAATCTGCTTGAAAACTGTTCTTCTGGTGCTTGAACTTCAAACATATTCTGTGCATAATTTCCAGGATCCTTTCGGAACAAGTCCTTAGTTTTTCAACTTTCTCCCAAAAGAAAAGAAAAAACAAATCCACTTGGTCTTTATTTAATTTTGTGACTTGAGAATAAACTTTACCTATATTTAGGACACTATGAATTCACTGCAACCTGCTAAATGCTAGAAATTAGGACTGACCTTTGTTGACATACATATGCACCTGTTTTTCCTTTCCGTGTGCATTTATCTTGACCTTAGTCATGACCCTGAGCCAATAGGAATCTTTGAATTGTTTTGAGTATAGATGCTGAGTTCAGAAATACTGGTTTGGAGAGGTCAGAAAAACTGGCGAAGGATCTGGAGTGGTTCAAAGAGCAAGGTTATAACATTCCTGAACCTTCTTCACCCGGGGTGACATATGCCCGTTATCTCAAAGAATTGTCTGAGACAGATCCTCAAGCATTCATCTGTCACTTCTACAATGTTTACTTTGCCCACAGTGCTGGTGGTCGGATGATTGGGAAAAAGGTAAAGCCCTAAGGCTTTGAAATCAATCGGTTTATTTCTGTTTCAATTCATTTGTGCATAAATCAGTGTATTAGATGGATATTCTTCATACTCGAAGAGGTCAAATATGCTGTCTCGAGGCTAGTCCAAACAGAAGAAACTAAATTGCATGTTAGCTTAAAGATTATGAATGCCACCGAATACTCAACCATTCTGCCTCCCCCTCCTTTACGTGGATATTGAAAGCTGTGCTTATTCTTATGCGTTGTGGGTCTTTTAAATTTCTCATCTTTTTCTTGGATCCTATGGAGAATGTGTTGTACAATGTTGAATTAGAATTAGGTGGCAATAGGCAATTTATTCTTTGATCATTAAATATAATTTTGTAGAGAGGCACCAGGGGGTTGCCAAAGCCATATATAGAATTCCAAGCCCCTAAGAGCTCATCCACAAAGAGAGAATCTATAGTCTGTCAAAAAAGCAGTTACCTCGATGAGCATCTTTCAACTGCGCCAAAAGTATAAAGCGAATCTTTTTTATTTATAGAATCTGCCGGGACCCAATTCATCCATCTAAAAGTATAAAAAGTTATCTATATCTGATATGCCATGTCAAAGGCAATTCGGAAGGAGGTGAGTGACAGATAACCCGTCCTTCACTCAGAGAAAGGATTGGTTTTACGAAAACTTTTCGAGATTCATTGGCATCGTTATCCTACCCTGCTGTCTACTTCCCTGAGCATCTTCCGACTTTTCTGGAGTATCTTTTATATTCTCGATCTGCTTACGGAAGTGACATTTCATTCATCTGTAAATTTAATCTTCTTTTAGGTGGCTGAAAAGATACTTGATAACAAGGAATTGGAGTTCTATAAGTGGGATGGTGAACTTCCCCAACTATTGCAGAATGTGAGGGACAAGCTGAACAAAGTCTCTGAAGTAATTCCTCGGCACTCTTCATCTAAATCGTTTATTTATGAGACTAGATCTGTAAATGGTCTCCGCTGTTATATATTCAAATGAAAAATTTAGTTCCATGGTTTTGACTTGTAAACTACTTGTTTCGGTGTTTAACGTGTAATTTCACATGTGGTGTTGCCAGAGCTGGACCAGAGAGGAGAAGAACCATTGCTTGGAAGAGACTGAGAAATCATTCAAGTACTCTGGCGACATTCTTCGTCTGATACTGTTGTGATGCGCGTATGACAACCAAATGTTGTACCGATCTGTTGTAAGTAATGGGGCAAAAAGCCTGACAGTTTACATTTGTGTTTGGCCCTGCACAATTTCTTTGCAAACCGCAAGCAAGTCCCTGGATTTGTTGGTTTTAACCTGTCAAATGTGACCCCTGAATTCTTTTCCTCACGCGGAGCATAAGGTTCTGCTGTACATAACTTTTCACATTGAAAAACTTGGCTAATCTTTTCTTGATTTATGAAGCTAATGTCTCCCTATATGCGGGAGACATGGATTTCGTTTATGAATGGTTTTGCCCCTTAACTTTACATTGATGTATACTAGCGTGTGGAGTGTTTGTTATTGATGGAGTATCTGATTGGCATTTAGGATGCAGTTTCTTGGAACACTGACTGTGCGAAGTGTTACTGTGCCTGTTATGTTCTTGTTAGGGTTGAACCCTAACCTCCTAAACTCCTGCCTCGTTCCGAACCCTTTTCCGACAAGGCCGAGTCTTTGATGGGTCGCACAGTGAGGAGGTTATGGTCGAGTCATGTCACGAACGCAACATAGACGAGTCTTCATGACGTATGTCCACTAGAAAGAGGCTTCAAAACAGCTTAGTGCGCTTTAGAAGCTGATTGCATCTTATCGAGCCATTATTTTACCATATGACTGTCCACAAGAGATTCATCGAAATAGCCTAATCGAATTCAAACAAATTGGAATTTCGAGATGGTTCGAGTCATTTCAGGATGGTGGGTCCATTTGGGGTTTCAACATAGATAGGACGGTAGTCGTGGAAACAATTGAAAAGATTCAAATAGAATCAAAATTTTATTGTTATCATCGATATCGTTAGCACTATATGCTTCCTTGATCTGAACGTGACAATCTATTTGTAAATATCATTTTTACTTTCTAGTACTTGAGGATAATCAATAAGGATGGAAAAACCAAGAACTGAAATTGGAACAGTTCACTTCGGTCTCATTCGAAACCATGGCGAGTCAGCTTATGACGAACATAGATTCACCAAGTTCCCCAAAAGACATTTTCGAGTACAATCGAATCGTGCAGGTCCCTATCCTTTCTTCCTGTCACTATCAGGTGCTTCGTAAGAGACTGATTGAAGAATAGAATATTAGTATGGAAGTTTCAAAACCAGCGCCTGTAGCTCAGTGGATAGAGCGTCTGTTTCCTAAGCAGAAAGTCGTAGGTTCGACCCCTACCTGGCGCGAACTCTACTCCATTTTCTTATCATGAGAATGGCCATGTTTTTTTTTTTACTTCCGTTATTCCCCTTCAAATTTTCTTCACTTTTATGCTTGTTAATGATTTGCGTCTGTGTGACTGTGCGTAGAAAAGGCATGGAGCTCGCAACGCTGGAGCTTCGGATTGCCAAGCTTGAGAATTATGGCCAAGACTGATGGACGAGGACTGGCCCAAGAAGGGTTTGCTATGACCAGCGACAAGGATGCGATTGCAAGATCGGCGTCTCTTCTCGAACCACGACAGGATGTCAACTCAACGCTGCCGATCACATCGGCTCGAAAGAAATATGTTCCAGTCTTGTCGTGCCTTAACCACTCCATCAATACCTCTTCCACATAAGCTTATCTGAGAACACTAAAGAACTGAATGTATTTGTTACAGAACAGACATCATCCTTCTCCTATCAGGACTTCAAAACAGCACATTGCATACTATCCTTATGAAGGGAAATTGTATTCTGAGGCTCATGCACATTACCGAAAATAATGAATTTAGTGAAAAAGAAGAAATTCATTCGTCGAATGTGCTCATGAATCCACCGAGGAAACCAGCTCCGTTGCAGTCCCCGCACAACATCTCCTTTTTGCCTCTGCAAAACAAATTCGAAGTTAAAACCACATCATGAATTGAGGGTAAAAGGAAAGAGAAAAAGTTATTGCTAAAACTGGCCATAAGCAAATCGGTACCGTGACTAAACATATGGGAGAGAGAGATTGCTCAAGTACCTGCAAAGCCAACATATCGCGCCGGCTTTAAACTGTCCGTTGAAGTGGTCTACAGAGTTTACTCCAGTCCCTTCACATTGGGAACACTGCACTGCACCTGGTTTCACGGAGGAAAATCAAAATCTTCTATTCCAAATACCGCGCTGCATCCCACTAGAATACTAGCACTTGGTAATAAAGCAAGCCCGACATTTTTGCACAGAAAATGATCATCCAAGTAGACAAGTTTCAAGTTTCTATGATCAGATGAACTAAACAAATAGAGACACCAGATGCCACTTCCTCGGAATTTTTTTTCTGAATATTTCTGAAAGCTCGTCCTCGACCATAACGACAGCCAATTGATGGAAGATGAGAGAAACCAAGAAAACAGTTTGCCTTGTCTCTAAATGTGAGTGCATTTCTCCCTAACTATGTTGCATCTCAAAGGGACTCTTTTTTTCAAGGACTTTTTTCATGTTGAGCAGTGGAACAAGTAGAAAAACACTTGTATGATGGTCCATTTATCATAAGAATTTGCCATATAAGCACAGAGGAAATCTTAACATCGTGTTAAAAATTACAGGCCATACTCCAAAAGGAAAGCTTACTATTCAATGCTTCAGATATCATGTAATACAATGGATATAATTTGTGTATCAGGAGCAATAAGCTCATAAATGTGCATATCAGCAAAGAATGTTCATGTCAGGTACAAAATATTACATCACAGTATACAGATCGGCAGTGTATAACATAGTATTACAATAGTGGATGTGAATAGTGGAGAGCACTCATTGTGATTTTATGCAGAATGTAGCTAGTCTTGAACATTACGACAAAATTTAGGAGTCAGTAAACAGTATTCAAGAATCAATACTTGGCCATTACCATTTCCATCACAATTAGCACAAACAATGCTTCGGGTTTTCGTGCCTGGACTATTCTCTGCAGCCTGTAAAACCACGAGACAATGTTCAAGCCAAAGAAACAAAAAAACAATCATGGAGAACAAACTCAATACGTACAAATTCAAAATGGTCATTCAAAAAGGATTTTGTTGAGAAGTGCCCTCACGTCACTTGTCAAAACACCTCAATGAAGAAAATTTGTCATTTCCAATCCACTATCTTTCTTGTGTTGTGTGTAATCAGTGTATTGAAAGTAAAGATGTTTCCTTATTAAGTATGGTGAACAAGTGCTCTGGGGCCACTTGTTGACAAGACTCATCTAACGAATATCCATTTTACATGTTACTTTTGTTGTGAAAGGTTATTTCTCCATATTTGCCCTCTTGTTCAAGCTAACAATCATGTGATTAATCCTTCTATGTTGTACAAACCATTCAAATAGCCAGAATATCAATGGGGCAATACTTTTCACTGTCACTGTGGCGTAATCCAGCTTGATTTCTTGCACGAAGTTATAGCCACCCGATAAACTTCCAAGGAACTTCTCCCAACTACAAATTGCTCACAACCAAATGAAAGATCGATACAATCCACCCCTGTTGCCCATGGATTACATAATCGCCCAAGCACAGGTTACATAATTTGCAGGGGATGTCCAAGAAAGGTGATTTCCAAAAAGCTCGCGGAAATCGCACCCTCATTTGGTATGGTCCAACTCAGAGTCGTCTCATCACTAAACACCCAAGAAGTTAATGCATCAAACAATTCATCCGTTTGCTTCAGCATCAAAACCCCTCATCTCCCATATACTAAAGTCACCACAATTCAAGAAGAAAGATTAGCATCAGAAGCTATCACCTTGACTTCCAGAGACTGAAATCTTGCAGTTTTAGTCCCAATACACGCATCATTGACTCTCAGAACTTTCCCAGCAACCGGATAGCCAATCACTGCTCCTGCAACGCCCACCCCGCAAAACAGAAAAAAGATCGAATGTCAACTCAAGATTTGACAAACAAGAAAATCAAGAATTCAATGTCACGTCCACATAGGACAGGAGGATGAGGAAGAGAGGAAGAGGAAGTACCCACTCTGGGTGGAGGCCGGACAGAACAAGTCGGAGCAAAGCATAGAGAATTCGCCATGTCAAAGAGGATGCTCAAGCTCCCTCGTGCTTGTGTTGGACCGTGTACAACCGGGAGAACTCAACCTAAAAAACGAGAGGAGATGAAAATAACAGAGCAGCCGAGGTTTTTTGCCGCTAATGCCCAGGATAAGGCGCTCGTGGTTTCAAGAATGGGGACAACCACAAACATAAACTTACCGAAATACCCTCCACACCCATGGCAAGCAGTAATTGGAGTAGAGGGGGTTAAGGGTAATATTCCACTGTCTGCAGCGAAAACATTTTCTTTTTTGGGGGTGCAGTGGTTCGCTTGCGCTTGCAGAACCAGAGCTCAAATTTTCTTCTTTATTTGTAAAACAGGTGAGAGAGAGAGAGAGAGAGAGAGAGAGAGAGAGAGAGTATGGCAAGCGCTCTCTTGTCCACCAGTCTCTTCCTCCCGTCAAGAAGTAAGCAAATCAAAGCTCGTTCATTTACAGTTTTTGAAGGTTCAAAAGCTCACCTTTTTGAGCTATTTGCTGTTGATTCGCTGTGCTTCTTTCGTTGGGATTGAGGAACAGCTTCTTGTGGTCTCTAACATGCGCCATTTTGAACAGATAGAGGAGACACTGGTGGGTTCCGCGTTAGGAGCTCCAGGAGCTCATTTCATGGCGAGTTGCTTTCCAAAGCCAATCTTGTGAGGAGGGAAATCAGCAGCAGCGCGAGAGGACGCCTTGAGATTGCCTCCGTGGTTGGTTGCTCTTCTTCGCCTCTTCTTGTCTGTTGTCATATCTTGAATTCAGTCTTTTTGCGTTCAAAACTTGGCTTAGCACAATAATGTTGTTTTGCTGGGTGGACTCGTTGTTGTGATGTACAAGAAAAGGGCTTGTCTTTAACTGTTTTGGTAATTTTGATACTTGTGAATTTGGAGCTCTTCGGGGAGCTATGGCCTGATACAGTTGGTCATTGTAATGTATGACGGCTTGGGAGGAAGGTCACCCAGAGAGAGACTGTAGTTCCTGACCCTGATTATAGAATACCGATTGTCTTACTCGGTAAGTGCCCTATAACATTGCTTTTCTCACGTTGAAGTTTGCTTCTACTCGCTCTCCACAAACTTAATTGTGATAGGATGATTCAGGTGAACCTTCAGAAGTATGTAATCCTCCTGTCGTAATATTTGATCTGGGGCTTATCATACTGGCTACTGAACCAATCTTGACTGTTTCATTTTTCCAAATCTTTAGAATTCGCTGCTTGGATGTTCATATATACTGTCATTAAGAAAAAATAGATCAGTTGCTAAATGGTCAAACGGCGACGAAGAAGCTAACAGGAATGTTGATTTGAATCAGGTATGGCTGGTGGATTAGCCTATACAAATAATCTGTTACCTGCTGCCCCTGTTGGTCTACTTGGTCTGCTCTTATTATTTCAGGTGATGTTACAATTAAGGCATATGGATTCTCTACCGGTACGGTGCTCCCCCCGGTGCCTCAATAAATCTCAACCAATGATTTATGAAAATGAGACTTTTATCAACGGTTGAAATTTGTTGAGACATCAAGGGGAGCACAGCAAGTAGTAGAGGATCCTCACCCATAATTAAGGATCAATATTTGCATGTAGGTTTTAAAGTGTAGTAGAAAATTCTTGTCTGACATGCCACCCAAATTTGCTTCCTTAGTCAATAACTAGTTAAAGATTCTGAGTTTCCTTCGACAATGTCTGCTTATTAATCAATGCGAATTGTGATTTAGTTTGCCTAAATGCTGACTCTATTTTCTTTCTTCCCCTTCTGATCCAGACTACTAGAGTGAGATTTGTCTTTGATAATGAGGCTCTGGTACGTTTATCGATCTTCATCGCAAGTGTGCAATTCATGCATGAGCTAATTGACAAGAAAACTAATGTAGTGTTCTTGTCTCTATGTGTATTGTGATAGAAGAAGATTCTCCTGACCTATATCTCTATTGTCTGAATTTTTTGCACTCAAGCATGGTTCTGGCCCTTCACTATTTTGACTTAAAAGGTTCAAGGTGGACCTTGGCGATTGTAATTCTGGAAGCTGAAGCTGCTGCTTTTGTAATTCTCTATTTAAGATCATCCTCAGTTAGAGAGTACTTTGAGCTGATGTGTCAATCTGAACTGACTCCACCTATTATGGAACAATTGGAATCTGAAGATGGTTTAATACCATGATTCACTAGTTTCTTCCATCGTATGTTTACTTTCATTATTTCCGGAATTCTTCCATTACTCATATTATGTCTTAGTAAGTGTAGTTTAAGGCTTTGAGCCATGTCATAGTAACTTTAGCTTGAGCCATGACCACCCTAAAGAATTTCCCTTCATTTCAAAATCTCAAAAAGATCAGTTAGTTGTTACAGGAGGATGATTCTTCTTGTCAAGTCATATGCTATGAGATTGACTCAAAGTAATTTTAGGCTACCCAGCTCCCTGGTTTCATGGGTTTTGGATTTTATAAGAAACATGACATAACTTACTGGTTGCATAAATTCACCGCATGGTGCTATAATATTTCATAATCTTAGGAGGTGAAAGTTGGAGAGGAGCTTCAAGAATCAGGTGAAAATGTCTTTGTAGGGGGGGAAAATCGGTGGAAGTAAGTATTTAGTTGCTCCAATAACTTGGGAAAAAAAACTCCTTCCTGTTATAATAGAAGCCGCTGCTTTGCATTCTGCATCTCTTCAGATACTCCACCTTTGTGAATTGGGAGCTCTGGTGGCCAAATTTTCCTATCCTTGTGTACTTCAAAGAGACACAAACAAAACCCGAGGGACAAGTGCATTTCTTTCCAGTAATTTTTGTAAGTAAAAGATATAAGTAAATTGCAATTGCTGCAAAACCATGCAGCATCTTGTTCAGCTTCTCACTGCTTTTAGGTTGTGGAGCCAGTGAAGGTTCGAAATCTAATCTATGACTATTTTCCTTGAAATATCAGAATGGGAAGCAACTATATGATGTCATGGTGGAGAGAGCTGGTCCTTCGAAAACAAGTGGGCCAAAATAATGCTAATAGAGTTTATGCCAAAATCAAGCCATGCCATATCATGTGGGACTTTAAATTGACGAGGTATTGCACTACATACTAAAAATTGTCAAAGTTTGTCAAATCCAAGAACGAGTCATGTCTTTCTGGATTCTGTAGCAGCTGTATTTCTTCACTCTTTTGGTTGCTAGCTTCTTCATTGTGATTTTGGAAGTTTTGAGACTATCTTGATTGTCTTTCATCATCAATCTCTTAGAAAAGATATTTATTTGGCCATGTTATTGACTTTATGCTGCATTAACCCAGAGGCTTTCTTTGCTAATGGAATTATTTGAGTCACCCGGTGCCATTTGAATGTAATTAGTATTGTCGCACAAACGTCATTCTTTTCCTCCCATGACATCTGGGATTCTCTCTTTTGCAGGAAATGTTTCAGAGTGCTCGGTTAACCAAAGATTCACTATGAGAATTACGTGCAAGACAGTTTTCTCGTGTGCATATGTACCTATGAATGTTTTCTTCTAGAATGGTAGTAGCTAGTTCGAGTTGCATTGGTTATGTACCTTTATACATCACAAAAGAGAAAGGAATCCGTATATTTATAGCGCTCCTCTGATTGTTTACATGGATCCTGTCCTCTCGTTTCTCGTATCCACATCCAACTTTTTTATTCATGGAGGTGCCGTGAGACCGAATTTTTGGTAAAATGGAGAATCCTATGTTCTCTTCTCGTTCACGTATAAGGACAAACTCAAAAACCATGAAACTGTCAATTTGTATACATACTTCACCAATTAAACCAGACTACCAGTAAGTACATTCTAATTGTGGTCAAACTGCTTCATTCTCATGGAGCAATAAAATCACAGGAAAAACCAGGCTACAAGTGAAAAGGTGTCGAATATGCCTCTGTAAGGTCTGGCCAACAATTAATTCTGCATTCGCTCGTACATCGCAAGGTCATTTGTTACAAATACAAAGTATGAATTGCAATAAATGAACATGATAACAAATTGGGTGTTGGGGATCCAACAGAAACAGATCCATCCCTAACTATACTCGACAAGAAAACCATAAAGTATCTGTGCTTCCTCGCTCAATAACTGGCTCCTTCAATGGACGGCTGTGTCTCATTACACATTCCAAATCTAATTCTCCATCTAGGAACTGAGTGGAAATTCTGTCCGAGGGTAGCTCTTACAGGCAAAACTCTCACAAATAAGTCTGCTAAAGAACTGTCCCTTTTCATGCTTGATTCAGTGATCTTCCGTCAACAAGGCTAGGGTTTAATTAATCCACTATCAGCTTTTCTTGGTGCAATGCGCGTCTGTACCATGCTGGGTGCAATGACGATACCCAACAGAGTGAAGAAATTCTCGAATCTCTTTGGAACTGCTGTTACTTGCCTGCAACAACCGTTCGTCCTCCTCATAAATCAAATATGGTGCCTCGCCTGCCTTTCTCGACAGCAGCTTCACGGCCCCCTTCAGAACGTGATGCTCCCAGCCCTGAACATCAATTTTGATGAGAAGCACGGGTTCTGAGTCCGGTATCACTTCATCCAGTGGGATGGACCTTACTTGAAGTTCTATTTCTTCATTGGACTTGAATGCCAATTTGGCACCGGCCGCTGAGACAGCACTGTTGTCGAGCCGACCAACCAACTGAAATCATCAGTCAGCCTAGACATGATCAGCACAGCAAAAAGCATAGCCAGATACCAATAATAAAAGAATAACTGTACTCTCAATGTTCTAGTAAGAACGATTCCATCAGTATCATAACTCAAAACATGATCGGATCAGATGACATCCAGGACTGGAAGGAGCTCATGCAAATTGTCCTCCCTATCATTTCAATCTCATCATAGAACTCAAACACATATAGTTTTTTTTTTATTAGAATGAAGCAACACAAGAGTCCTACATCATCGCTGTAGTGCCATGGTCTCTCTTGCACCGACCTGCATACTCGTTCAGTCTTAACGGGTTCAGCGAGTATTATAGAGACCACATCCTTATTTCTTAACGTTGTAATTGTTAGTCCACAGCTTCAATGTAAACAGAAAATTTCAATGTTGGTACCCATCAATGGATACACTGTGCCCATTATTGTCATTTCAAAATAGGAGAGCTCAAGACGTTCATTGTTGAACTTGCAAACAGGGAATACCATTTTGAGAGTGTAAAATAGTTCGAAATGCACTCTATCTTCTAGTTCTAGCCACACATTGAAGTCTTTTCGAATTCAATAATTTCATTTATGCACAGAATGCATCAAAGCATTGAAATTTTCTTTCCAAAGGCATTACAGAAGATTGAGGGCCAAAGCCTACCACTCACGTTACATCCCCTTTATTAGGCCAAACCAAACCAAGCCAAATGGAGCCATATTATATTAGCCTTCCATTGACATTACCACAGAAGTTCCAGCAGATACCCTATTGGATAGGAAATTTACCTCTCCATCAGTTCAACCTTTGTATGACATGCATATTCAAATCAAACCATGTTGCCCCTAGGCTAGACTCTTTCAAGTGACATATACACTGACTGGATGAATGATAAACTACAAAATCTGAAAATGCACCAACCTCACTAGCCTCCTAGAAACAAGAGTCTCCGCCAGCAGATAAAATTCATTTCATTTTTTCTAAGAACGAAACTAACTGATGATACAGATAAAAAAAATTCAAACTTAAGAGCAATTCAACTAACTCAACAAGCATAAAGACGTCACCTTGTGAAATGTGATGTTCCCAACCCTATCCGACGCAGCGGCCTCGAACAAATCCATCAGCTCCCCAACCCGATTCATCCAAATCCCATCACAAATCCTCTGCAAGTTCTCGAAAACCGGCTCGAAAGCCAGAACCCTGAACCCCATCGCGGCGGCGGCGAAGCTGGCCATCCCCACATTCGCGCCCACGTCCACGAAAAACCCATCTCTGCCCTCGCCTCGGAACCCCTCCAGCAGCTCCTGCACCGTCACCGATATGTCGGGCCGCCGGAAGGCCTTCCCCTTGAGGGTCCGGACGATGTTCTTGTGGGGCTTGTCGGGGAGGGACCCGAAGTCGGAGAGGGAGTAGAGGAAACGGTGCTTGACGCCCTCGACGACGTTGGCGATCACGGGGTGAGCCTGGGGCGACGCGGAGCAGTCGAAGGGGGAGATGGCGGAGGGTGAGGAGAAGCGGGACTTGGGGGAGAGGGTAGGGGCGGTATTGGGAAAAGGGTTGGCGGGTCGGACGGAGAAGAAGTAGAAGATGAGGAGGAGGAGAGAGGAGGAGAAGAGGAGGCAGAGGAACTTGGAGGAGAGGAACTGGGGCTGCTTGTCCCTCCTCCATGCGTTCGCCATTGGAGGGAGGGAGAGGAGGGGGATCTTGGCTGGGTGAGTGCGAGATCTCTTGCAGGGGGGAGGAGTTTCCTGGGGGAAAATTTCAAGATTGGATCTTGCGCACTGCGCCTCTTAAACTTGGGAAAGACTCTACTCTTTTTCTTTTGGATTACAGTTGGTAGAGCGAAACTGGTTTGGTTTGTTCTAGACTTTGGATCAAAGTTCTTAATATTCTTCTACGCAAGCTTTTCAGAAGTGAATAAGCAGACGGGAATAGAGCGGTTTGATTTATGAAAAAAAAAGAGAGGTAGAAAACTCCCAATACCCACTATGAGTGATCGGTTTCGGATTAGGAACCTAAAATTAGACCGTGCAAGGTCGGTTCACAGTTTGTGCAATCGGAAATTGGTCCACCCAGTCCTAAAATCGGATTGGTTCCAAGATTCGTCCCGGAACCAGTGATTTTTTCTTCTTTTTCTTTTTTGAGTTTCTTCTGTTCTCTACGAGTAGGGAAAAGAAAAAAATAATTTACTAATTATGATTTGCTTCAAAATAAATAGATGAAAAAAATAAAGAAATCTTGACCAATCCGAGCAGTCCGTTCCCTTACGTGGAATCGGGAACTGACCCATTCCCCCCGTGAACCACCCAAAATAGGCCAATTCGGTTTGGTCTGGTGTGATTCTTGGGTTGGACCAAGACCGATGCACACCCTTACTAGTCATATCTCTTATTGTGAATGACAAAACATGGACATTACATATATTTAATTTGGGTTAGTTTTAAGTAGATGATATTCATAACTTACGCCTCCCATTGGATAACATGGTTGGAGGCAGGATTGCAGGAAAATAGCACTAGCTAAATCGAGCTCACAGTTAGTTCATTAGATAGATTTGATTTAGCAGTTTTATTCGATGAACAACTTCGGGCCATTTCAAAGATTTACAATCCGGTGATCTTTGTGCTCCCAATGGTTGACATTGGCAAGGACTCAGAAAGAATATAAAGCATAGTTGACAAGTGCCAAGTAGGCCATACTTGACTCCATTGGTTGATTGACACTAGAGAATCGTCGTGCGATCGATCTCGCCCTCGACACCTTGGTCGGCTGCACCATCCTTTGGCGTCAAACAACTCGTTTCTTACTTAGGTCTCGTTGAGGGAGCCGAACTGCCCAGAGACGAAGCCAGCATTACGAGCGAGGCCCTTTTTTCGCACGTCTCTGAGCTGTTCGATGCCGAAGAATGGTGCGGCCACGAAGGTGTCGGGGGCAAGATGTATCCATTGGTTGATATATAAATTTAACACGTGAACCCCAAATGATCATCACCATGTGTGCTTATTTAAAGTATTTCTTTTGGAAGCTTTGTCTAATGTTGAATGAGCCTGATAAAATTTCAATTTTGGTCCTTGAACTTATGCCTAACTTTCAAATCAAATCCCTTCAGCTCTAAATTCACTTGACTTAGGGTGCGTTTTTGGAATTGGCTTTGCCAAGGGCTTTGGGCATCCAAAGCCCCTTGTGCTAAAATTTAGTGTATAGGAACAATTTTAGAAACTCCCCTTCAGCAAAAGTGAGCCTTAATGTATCCAGTGGAGTCAACACGTGTTTGATGTGGTAAAACTTCTTGCAACCGTTGGTTATCACTGTTGTAAATATGAATGGCTTCGAATCAAAGAGCAATCAAGTCGGACTTTGAGGCGTGATATCACTTTCCTTAAGGATTTATTTGCCCCACAATTGTTGCTAATGGTCACCGGCAAAAATCCTCCAGGGATACAACAAAGTCTCAAAATGAGAATACTAGATAGCAATTCTAGTATTTCTAAAGTCTCTCTACGAAACAAAGAAATGATGGTGTAGTTTTCGAAAGAAGACTTGAAGAAATTGATCTCTATTTTCTTTCTTGCCAAAAACTGACATATATAGAAATCGGTCTTAAAGAACATTGGCAACTCTTCACGAAAGATTGCAAAGCTAACAAAGATATTCCTTCGGAAGAAGTTGCAAACTGAATAGATGCAACCCTTCGGAAAAGATTGAAAACTGAACAAGTATAATCTTCAAAAGTTGTCTTGGAAAGACACATGTAAAATTCGGAATAAAATAAATATATATATATATAATTCCGAATTTTCATAATTTCGAAAATTACTTAATAAACAAAAAACAACCTTTCAAATAATAAAAAATTAATAAGACAACCTTACGAAATAAGATAAAAAAATATAAAGGGATTAGTGCTAATTAAACCGCGGCCGCGCAAGCGTGCAAAGTGCTAAGTGCGCCTAATAATCGCGCCAAAATCGCGCAATTATTTGCGCACCCGCACGTGGGTATTGTGTGGACTAAGACACACCCCATTGTCTTCACTCTAAAGAAAGCGAAGATATTCACGGTTATAAAGTGGCCCACTTTCTCAAAACTTTCCTATGTGGGATAAAGGAAAATGCACTATTTTGTTTGTTTTACAAACAAACAACCAACAATCACCTCATGGAAATGCATGGGATTGAAAACCACGAAAGCACAACCGAACCTTGAGTGATGAGATTTCTTAACATGAACACTGCACTCGAGTTTTTCATGAGAAACTCGTGGTGGCTCCAATGGATACATCAACTGCAATTCATCAAATTTTGAGTGAGAGCGACTTGATTACAAAAGTTGTGCATGTTCAAAGCTGGATTTTACATAATAAGTTTGAGACAATGCTGAAATTTTACCTAATTTCAAACTAATCAATTTGCGGACGAAGTTACCCATTCACTTCTTACAACCTCATCTTATTTTTTTTCATAGCTCAAGGGGACACTAGCTCAGAGGCTCCACTATTTGGAGGTTAATAAAATACCTTCTAAGTCTCATGAACTGATTTAATTTAAGCCTTTGACTTGTACAAGTGACTCTAATTCATAGCAGTTGTATGCAGTTAGTGGGATTGAAATATGTTTGTATTGGAAATCTCCTCAAAGCTCGACCAAGGTTGTCAGACAACCTCGTTACCTCGGAAATCTACAAATTTGTAATCTATTTACTACCATTTTTCTATTTTGTAAGAAAACATATCATCAAATGACCAAGCTTGAGTGAAGAAATTTGTCATGTCAGCTTACGGATTTCATGAGACTTGGCGTGAAGATCATGTAATAGGCCATTGAGCAGATTTAACAAACTTGCCGTTGTTGTTTTCCTTCTTCACGAAAGGCCCTCTTCTCGGGACTTATGAATTTGTCTTTCCTTGTGTTTCATGCTTCTTTTTACTCTCTTCTTTCGTTTCTTTCACTTCCACATGCATTTGCTTTCTTCAACCGGCAGAGTTTGCTCTGGAATCTCTCTCTGTGTGAGGAAATCCTGGCCTTCTCTTCAAACTCAATTTTTCCATTGATTTTGCTGAAGAAGATCCGGTGCTTCTTGTTTCAACCCTGTCCTGGATGGTATTAGTTTCACTGTTTCTTCTTCTGCATGGTATCATACGTATATATTGAGTATTGACATGATTCTCTCGTAGTTTCTTGAACTTAGGGTGTTGATTTATGGTAGCATGTATGTTCATGCCACAGCATGCATGCCGGTTTGATCTGAATTGTTGCTTTAATGGTCTCTTATGATGCTAATATAATGTACATACTCTATTCATGCATGCCTGCATGCCGGTTCTATCTGAATTGTTGCTTTACTGATTAGGTGAAATGAATATATTGAGATAAATGAAGTGCTTTTTGTTAAGGAATGATTGGGAGTTCTAGTTCTTCAACACACAGAACATTCAAGTTGATTTTCTTTTGCTGAAAATAGCAATTGAAGGCATAGGCTGCTACTTGAAGCTAAGTGAAAGTCCACAGATCACGAACATTTTCAACACTTTTTCTCCGGCATATGCAGGAAAACAGTTAGCTTTTTGAATCATATGATATAGCTCATGCTTGTATTTGATAAGAAAGAAAGATTAAAAGAGAATGGTATTTATTCTCTTATAATGGTATATGAAACAATGTACATGAGAAGCCTTTATATAGGCTTAGAGGAGTAAAGGAGCCTAGCATTCTTCCTATGTGGGACCAAAGAGAAAGAAGAGATGTAAAGGAAAACCTACAAAATTATACAACATGTTCTAACACCCCCCCTCAAACTCAAGGTGGATCAAATAACGAGAGTTTGGAAAGAAGAAATTTAAATCGTTGTGATGTAAAAGCCTACGTAAAACAATCGGCAAGTTGATTCTCAGTTCCAACAAAAGGAAGTGAAATAGTGCGAGCTTGGAGATGATGACGAGTCAGATGACAATCGATCTCAATATGTTTGGTACGCTCATGAAAGACTGGATTTGCACCGATATAAATGGCACTCTTGTTGTCACAATGTAGAGGAGTAGGATCCAGAAGTGAAACTGCCATATCAGCAAGTAAGCGGCGAAGCCAAACAATCTCAACAGTAGTGTCGGCCATAGCACGATGCTCGGACTCTGTAGAGGAGCGTGAGACAATATGTTGTTTCTTGGAACGCCAAGAAATAAGTGAATCGCCAAGAAAAATGCAATAACCAGTGATAGATTTGCGATCAGTGACATGGAAGCCCAGTCAGCATCAGAATAGGCACGCAACTTGAGAGCAGAAGAGGATGGTAGAAATAAGGAACGCGATAAAGTGCCTCGAAGATTGCGCAGAATCCTTAGAACAGCCGCATAATGAGTTGTTCGAGGAGCAGCAACAAACTGACTGACAACATGAACATCATAGGCGATGTCAGGTCGGGAGATAGTAAGATAAATAAGACTGCCAACCAAGGTCCGATAGCGGGTGACATCAGAAAGGGGTTCTCCATTGTCTGGGCAAAACTTTTGATTTAGCTCAATAGGAGTGGCAGTAGTACGTGAATCTGATAGAGCAGCCTTTGACAGAATATCAGTGGTATATTTCTGCTGAGAAATGAGAATACCACGTGAATTGCGAGCAATCTCAAGTCCAAGAAAATAGCGCAGTGGTCCTAGATCCTTCATGGCAAAATGTTGCTGAAGGTGTCGCTTGGTATGCTCAATATGGTCACGATCATCTCCGGTGATGACCATATCATCAA